TGCCTTCTGCTCAGGCCATGTTCCTTGGGTCCTGGGATCGAGCCCTGCATCGGACTCCCTGCTCCGCGGGGTGTCTGCTTCTCCCTCTGCCTTTGACCCTCCCCACTGCTTATGCTCTCTCTCTCTCTCAAATAAATAAATAAAATCTTTTTTTAAAGATTTTTTTATTTGTTTATTTGACAGAGAGAGACACAGTGAGAGAGGGAACACAAGCAGGGGGAGCGGGAGAGGGAGAAGCAGGCTTCCGGCTGAGCAGGGAGCCCGATGCGGGGCTCGATCCCAGGACCCTGGGATCATGACCTGAGCCGAAGGCAGACGCTTAACGACTGAGCCACCCAGGCGCCCCTAAAATGTTTTAAAAAACATAAAAAGAAAGAAGGGAGGTGTATTTGGTAGGGCTGTCATAACGAAGCACTACAGACACCACAGACAGGGTGGTTTAAGCAATAGAAATCTGTTTCCTCACGATTCTAGAGGCTGAAAGTCTAAGATCTAGGTGTCAGCTTCTCTCCTTGTCTACTCCCATAACTTCACATGATTTTCCCTCTGCACCAGTGCCCTAATCTCCTCTTCTTAGAAGGATACCAGTCAGACTGGATTAGAGCTCATTTTACCTTAATTACCTCATTGAAGACTATATCCCCAAATCCAGTCATGTTCTGAGATAATGGGGGTTAGGACTTCAACAGATGCATCCGTTGGGGGGGGGTGCGCAAAATTCAGCCCGTAACAGTGGGCAGAGAGCCAGCCGTAGCATAGGCCATTTCTTCATTGACTTCCCCAAACAAACCATGGTAGAGAAAAATCTAAAAGATGGTTTTTAATCTTGATTTTTGGATTTCAGGAAATGCCACTGACCTTTTCTAATATCTTTCAATTGATTTGTCATTATCCATGGCATATTCCAATGAGGAATGAGGCGGCCCTTCTTTGTCTTCCTTTTTTTTTTTTTAAGGATTTTTATTTATTAGGGACCCCTGGGTGGCTCAGTGGTTAAGCATCTGCCTTTGGCTCAGTTCATGATCCCAGAGTCCTGGGATCAAGTCCCGCATCGGGCTCCTTGCTCAGCAGGGATCCTGCTTCTCCCTCTGCCTGCTGCTCCCCCTGCTTGTGCTCTCTCTCTCTCTTTGATAAATACATAAAATCTTTAAAAAAAAATATTTTTAGGGCGCCTGGGTGGCTCAGTTGGTTAAGCGACTGCCTTCGGCTCAGATCATGATCCTGGAGTCCCGGGATCGAGTCCCACATCGGGCTCCCTGCTCAGCGGGGAGTCTGCTTCTCCCTCTGACCCTCCCCCCATCTCATGTGCTTTCTCTCTCATTCTCTCTCTCTCTCTCAAATAAATAAATAAAATCTTTAAAAAAAATAAAAAATATATATTTATTTGAAAGAGAGAAAAAGCGTGTGTGAGCATGGTGGGGGGAGGGGCAGAGGGAGAGAGAATCTCAAGCAGATTCTCCACTAAGCACAAAGCTGGATGTGGGGCTTGATCTCACAACCCTAAGGTCAGGACCTGAGCCAGGACCAAGAGTCAGACACTTAACCGACTGAGCCACCCAGGCACCTCTTCTTTGTTTTCTTAAATGTACTTTCAGGATTAAAGGTTTTTAACAAATACTATCTTTGCTGGAAAAAAAAAAAAGCTCTAACTAAAGGCTCACATTCTCCTTAAGGAAAAATGTTATGCAGATGTGTTCTGTCTTGAACATCTCTCAGTATCATTTGCTATCCTTTGACATCATTTTAAGTTACTGCATGCAGCTCTGTTATATGAGTGTGCTGTAATTTATTGGACCAACCCTCTTTTGTTGGACCTAAAGCAATTTAACAAAATTCTTTCTTGGATTCTTTCCTTTCTTCCTGTCACCACCACCAAATTAGTAGTCCAGGTTGCTTACTGAATCAGTCCTCTATGATCCCAGCCGACTTCCTAAAGTAATCTCCCTTCCCAGGGTTTCCCTCCCGTCAATGTCCTCATAGCTGCCTGAAGGATGTTCTTTTTTTTTTTTTTTTAAGATTTTATTTATTTGTTTTTGAGAGAGAGCAAGAAAGAGTGAGCATGCACACAAGCAGGGGGAGCTGCAGGCAGATGGAGAAGCAGGCTCCCCGCTGAGCAAGGAGCCTGATGTGGGACTTGATCCCAGGTCCCTGAGATCATGACCTGAGCCAAAGGCAGATGCTTAACCGACTGAGCCACTCAGGGGCCCCTGCCTGAAGGATGTTCTTAAGTCACCACTTTCCTCGTGTCCCCTCTCAGCCCAAGAATGGCTCCATCTTGACTTTGCAGTTGGTCCACACACTTCCGCCTTTTTTTCCCCCCCCGAGGATTTTCTGCACATCAGTCTCTTTTGATCTTCATCTACTTTCTTCCCATTCTAGGGAGCCAGCCAGGTCTACCAGTAATTTGAGCACATACCGTACTCATCTCTTCCTGGGCCCGGCTTGTGCTGCTGTTCCTTCAAGACGGCGTCTTCTCCTCCTGCCAGACGATGTGTCTGGCCTCTTCATCTGGGGGGGGAGGCCGCTCATGTCTCGAGAGCTTCACAAAACCCCCTGTGGTTACTCTTGCCTATATGGATTTTGCCTTTCTTTGCGCTTTTGGTTCAGTGAGATGGGCCCACACAGTTCATGAAGCAGTAAGAAAGCAAGGCTTTGTCCTTCCCTGCATAGACTTAGAAGACAAGGACCGTGTTGTAAATGTCCCCCACACTGACCGCCTGACAGTTCTTGGAACACGCTCACTTGTTTTCCCACTTCAGTGTTTGCACTTGCTGTTCCTCCAGCTCATCACAGCCAGTTCCTTCCTGACGTTCGGATCTAGCTTCAATGCCACCTCCTCGGAGAGGCCATCCCTGACCCCTATCAGAAGTAACCCCATTGTTTCTGTCATGGCATGCTGCTTGTTTTTCTTATACCCTTTACCCCAAGCTGTTCTCATCTCATTTCTTTATACATTGCTTGCCCACTTTCCCCACTGCACCGAACCTCTTGGAGAGCCTGGCTTGTTCACTTATTTATCCCTAGGACCTTCACAGTGCCAGGATGCTCAGTAAATGTTTGCTGAGTGAATTAATGAAATTAGATGGAATGGGGGCAGAGAAGGGGGGCAGGGACGTGGAGACTGTCACTTGGATTTCTGGTTTGGGAGATCGAGCTGATGGAAATACTACTAACTGAGCTTGGGATTTCTGGAGGAGCACCTGTGGGTGAGGTAGAGAGAGCAGAGATAGTGATTTCTCCTTCGTATTCATTTGATTTGCCTCTAAACTATTTAAATGGACTATTTAGAGGTGGTTAAATACATGGGCCTGGAGTCTGGGAGTGATACTAAGGCACCATCCAAATAACAGCAATAGCTAGCATAGTTAGACATATGGTTAAAACTTTAAAGAATAACAATAGCTAACATTTTTAAAAAGATTTATTTATTTTAGAGAGAGTGCAAGTGGGAGGGACAGAGGGAGAGGGAGAAAATCTTTTTAATTTTGAAAAGATTTTATTTATTTATTTGAGAGAGAGAGAGAGAGAGAGCACAGACACAAGCGGGGGGAGGGGCAGAGAGAGAAGCAGACTCCCCACTGAGCAGGGAGTCTGATGTGGGGGCTCGATCCCAGGACCCTGAGATCAGGGCCTGAGCCAAAGGCAGGCGCTTAACCAACTAAGCCACCCAGGCGCCCCAAGAGAGAATCTTTTTTTTTTTTTTAAAGATTTTATTTATTTATTTGAGAGAGAGAGTGAGAGAGAGAGAGCACCTGAGAGCGGGGAGGGTCAGAGGAAGAAGCAGACTCTCTGCTGAGCAGGGAGCCCGATGTGGGACTCGATCCTGGGACTCCAGGATCATGACCTGAGCTGAAGGCAGTCGTTTGACCAACGGAGCCACCCAGGCGCCCCCCAAGAGAGAATCTTAAGCCGACTCCGAGCTGAGCCTGGAGCCTGACCTGGGGCTCAATCTCATGCCCCTGAGATCTTGACCTGAGCTGAAATCAAGAGTTGGACACTTAACCAACTGTGCCACCCAGGCACCCCCAATTAGCTAACATTTATTGAGTGCTTACTCTGTAACAGGCAGTGAGCAAAGTACTCTACATACATTTACACTTTCAACAATTAAGACTTAAAACAATGCTTAGACACACAGATGCAACTGAGGATTCTAAGCATTAGATAAGCTGCCTGAGGCCACTTAGCTAATTAGTGACTCAGGATTTGACTCTAGGTGGTCAGTTTCCAGAGTCTTTCTCACTGCACCACCATGCTGGAATAGGCACGTAATGGACCGAAAACCAAGATGGGTCCTTTGCCTTTGAGGAGCTTATTTTTTGCTTGGGGAGATAAAATAGAACTCAGAACTTACTATATTCAACAGGCTTACATTAAGCACTCATCCAAGCCTCAAGTATGGCAATTATTTCGTTAAAATAGCCAGTCAGTATTGGGTACCTCCTCCGCTGATTCCAGAAGATTCAGTCTCATGCGACCTTGACAATTAAGAGGAACTAAGGAAGTTAGGAATGCAAAATCCTCTCCATGGACCATCATTTATTTTGGAAACATAACTTATAACCCGACTAGAAAAGAGAAAACTGAAAGATCACAGTGAAAGCCAGAGAAGATAGTGATGTCTAGATCTCTTCAAAAGAGAGCAGAAGGAGTGAGTCAGGGGACATTTGGGATTCCCAGAATGATGACTGCATGCGATTAGAATATGTGTTAAGAAATATATAAGCAGCAGGAAGTGAAACCACATCCAGTGCACCCGTGGACTAATTTGAATAAAAGGGGGTGGTGATCCCAGTTTCTCATGGGTTCTATCTAGGAGGCAGGGCTTTGTGTAGACAATGACTGTGGCAGAAGCCAAGCCAAACCTCTGATTTTTCAGGGTGGCTCATTGGCCTGGAATTAGGAGTGCTTTAATCACCTCCTCTTCATCCCATTGGTGAGGGAAGGATTTCCACCCTAAGGTCATGGAGATGACCAAATGCATGACACCCAACACTAGGCAAGGGAAATTGGCAGCAGTTTATTAGTCACATAATCATAGCTCCAGGGCAGAGTGAACAACCAGAGATGGTGGGATTTCGGCTCAGGTGGGAGGCCGGCGTGCTTTGCAGTATCAAGAGGGTGAGATGCCCCGTGGTTCCCACAGGAGGACATGATTGTCTTTTAGATCATTCCATGGGTGGCAGAGAACTTAAACCCATTATTCAGGGGTCAGCAGTAAGTGCCTCTGCTCCATTCGCTAAAGAAGGTATTTGTCCAGGTGACCTTTTCCATGGGAGTAGGATGGGGAGAGAAACTTGCAGTTAAGCTGTTCTAGACCCTCCTGATTTCAACAGATGTCAAACCAGCCTGTGATATTAGACCTGAGTTTTTGGCTATACACTATAGGGTGAGATACATCAGCAGCTCTGCTGACTGCCCTTTGTCTCTAGATTTGGCACGTTCCTACCCCTGACCTGGTGAGACCATTAAGTGGTCTCATCTCCACCAACTTGGGACAGGAAATACTCTAAAAATCAAGGCACCCTAAAGCTTTTCCTTTTTCCTGCGGCTGATCTTTCTGTGACTTCCCAAGATAAAGAGGAGAGAAAAGAGAATCAGTTCATTTCACTGCATATTTGGGGCAGATGTTTCATGGAGTAGGGAGAGACTGAAATAAAATTAAAACTGTTTACCACCACTCCTCATTCATTCTCCATGCAGTGATCAGAATGATCTTTTAAAAACCAAATATAATCTTACCAGGCTGCTACTTTAAAACACTTCCATGGCTGTCCATTGGTCTTAGGATAAAGACAAAACTCCTTGCCATGGCCTGCAAGGCTCTATGCAGTCCAGCCCCTGCGTGCCTGTCCAGTCTTATCTCATGCCTTACTTCCCCCTTACTATCTATGCAGTAGGCATCCAGGTGTCCTTTAAGTTCCGTAAACCGGCTATGCATTTTCTGCCCCGGGGCCTTTGCACATGCTCCTCTTTCCGCCTAGAATGCTCTTCCCTACCCTATTCACCTAGTTATCTAGGACTTACCCTTCAGGGTTTAGCTAAAGGGCTGCATCCTCAAGGAGGACCTCTCTGATCTCCCCAAAATGGTCAAATTCCCCTATTTTAGGCTCTCAGAGCATCATTTTTCTTCTTCATCATGATCCCCTTCACAAAATGCAAATTTACATTTGAATTATTTGATTAATGTCCATCTCCTCACATCTCCGTGACAGCAGCAACCTTATCTATCATTGGTCTCTAGTGAGTACCTAAAAGAAAACTCGTTTTCCTATTCTCTACTTGTAATATTTCTGGGACCAAATGTTCGTGGAGTTTTCCCACACCAACCAGTTTTCCAACTCTCCAGACACCAACTGTGTCGTACAATTCAATTGCGTCATTAACTCCTGGCATTAGCCTAGACCCCACAGGTTGAGGCCTCAATCCCACAAGATTGTCCTCCACTTCAGGTGCCAGTCGCAAGTCCCAGGGTGTCCCCTGTACTTCAGACCAACTGGCTAAGAAATGGGGGTTCCCATAGCCCCCTTCTCAGGTTCAGTCACTTGCCCAAATGGTTCACACAACTCAGGGAAACCTTTGTTTGTATTTACTGGTTTACTATAAAGGATATAATGATACGAAGAACTAGATGAAGAGGTACATAGGGCAAGGTCCAAAAGGGTCCTGAGCACAGATGCTTGTCCCTGTGGAGTTGGCGTACAGCACTCTCCTAGCATGTAGATGTGTTCTTCAATTCAGAAGCTCTCCACATCTCATAATCAAGACATTTTTAGGGGGACTTCATCACGTGGGCACAATCAGTTGTTAACTCAGTTTCCAACCCCTCTCCATTCTGGAGGATGAGAGAGTGGGGCTCAAAGTTCTAAGCTTCTGATCATGGCTTGGTCTTTCTGGCAACGAGCCCCCATCCTGAAGTTTGGAGCCCACCAAGAGTTGCCTTGTTAGAACACAAGACACTCTTATCACCCAGCAAATACTAAGGGATTTAGGAGCTGTGTGTCAGGAATTGGGAGCAGCACAGTCTTATTATGTCATAGTTCCTCAATGAATATATGTTGAATGAAAGTGTCAATGAATGAACTGTGATTTGGGGATCTCCTGAGAAAAGGAAGTAAAAAGAACACTTCAGTAATCAAATTATACATTATTTTTTATAATCAAAACATTAATATTTTCTTATCAAAACATATTACCTAGTTAAGACATGTACATTGCCAAACTAGAATTAGGAAGTGTTTAAAAACTGGTGCCCTCTGAAGAGAGAAATGCAAGTTCATTACCAATTCTACATGAAACCAGCTAATGTTACAAGAAAGATCTCTAATACAGACATGAAGTAGTGAATACTGGGCAATTACCATATAGAATAATGGATTTAAGTATAAGAAAATAGATCCTACAAAGTGTGATTCTCCTTGGGATGCCTTTGCTGATGACATTATTTTATGCAGTAGACTAAAAACAAGATACAAATATGATGCATGTTATTGTATGAAGTGTCAGACATTTTACACACCATTGGCATAACATATCACCCTCTCACCTAAAGCATCTGTGGGGAAGGTGAAGGAGGATAGTAGGTGGATCCAGTGACTAATTGTCATTCCAAATTCTGATGCCATCTGGGGCCTCTAGAGGTGACAGAAACACACTAGGGATAAGGCACCAAAAAAGAAAATAAAATAAAGGTATAAAGTTTCAGAGGTTTATCAGAATGGAAATCTGTAGCTCATACATAGAATTCTAGGAGTAAAAATTTAAATTCTGAAGAAGTCATATATAATCCACTTTTAAATATATATCATACATATAAGAAGTCATATATAATCTATCTCTGAAAGATAGTAAAAAAAAAAAATGAAAGTTCAGTCTGGCCTAGTTTATTCCTGAGTTTAAAGCCAGATAAAATCCTGGGTCAAAAAAAGAAGTGTTTTGCTCATATTTACTTTACATGAATACAGTAGAAAGCATCTGGTTTTTAAAAAGTATCAAAATGGCACATCTTAGAATATGTATTAAGAAAACTCATAGATCCATCATCAGTTATAGTGTTGAATAGTGGTCTCTATTTATTCTTTAAAAGAGTTGTTTAGAAATCATCAATTCTAATACCAAAACCATGAAAAGGAAATCCTGAAGGAGGATCCTAAAACCTGACTATCCATTTTCATATTCTTAGCGGTTGATGTACAGAAATGGTAAAGGTTTGGGTGTGAGTTGCTTTTTAAGTAGCAACCAGATTGCATTCATTCTAATTGGCTGCAAAGTACAGGATGTTAAAGGCATAATGGTGGCCTTTTTCCGTTTTAACAGCAGTAGCTACTTCCAGTCATAGTAATAGGCTATGGGTTAGAATGTATTGGGTAGTTCAGCAGTTAGATTGGACGGATTCCAGGGCTGGTCTGGTGGGTTACTTGATTTGGTCCGCAGCCCTGACAGGACTGCCGAACAGAGACCTAAGCCCTGGTGATGCTTCAGGGCTGGTCCAGGCTCCCTAAGAACGCTAGAACCACAGAAGGTATGGCTGAGTCTGTGTTCCAGTGAGTCAGGCTTGCTCTCTGTCCCAGTCATCTGTTGCTGCATAACGAACAACCCGAAACTTAGTGGCTTAAAACAACAGTTTTGTTCTGTGGGAGGCGTCTCATGCAGTGGCAGTCCAATGGTAGCAGGGTGTGGAATCATCAGCAGGCTTCTCTCCCATGTCCAGTGACTGCGTTTGGATGGCTTGGAAGCTGGGAACTGGTCAGGCATCTCTGTTCTCCATGTGGCTTTTGGAGCTTCCTCACAATAGGGTTGTCTGAGGAGAGTCAGACTTTGGTATGGGGGCAAGCTTCCTTCACAGCAGACGTGGGTAGGACCGGAAGTGGAAGCTGCCAGCCTCAAGACCAAGACCCCGAAGCCGGCACAGCGTCACTTCCACTATTGGATAGAAGTGATCAGAGTTGCCCACATGCAAGAGGAGGGGACATAACCCTTAGGTCCTGAGGGTCAGATGCCCAAGAATTTGTGGCTGCCATTAATCCTCCACAGTCTCCAACCAGCACCCAAAGGGTTTGTTCATAGTTATACCTTATCCCAGTCTGGCCTCATAAGGAGCTGGTTGGCATTCATGTAGCTCTTTGTGCATTAACAAGAAAGTTCATGTACACTCTCTCAGTTTGTCCTCCCAACATCTCTGTGGGATCGCAGTTGGGGTAGGAAGGCAACTAAGGCTCAGAGTTAAAAGCCTAGGATCACACAACTTCCTAGGGACAGAACTGAGGCACAGATCTGAATCTCTCGACTCTCAGTCCATGCAGAGGGATTCTGGTTTATTTGTTTGTTTGTTCAGTCTGCTCTCTGACACATCTAGAGCTGCAGGAGTGGAAAACACATTTCCCTTTGGTTGAACATTTGGCCTCAGATCTTTGCAGATCAAGCTCAGGGTGCAAAGGAAACGTTCACACACCTGCTCAGCCCTGTGCCCTCAGTAAGGACTCTGGAAGCCGGTGTACTGGCCTTCACTCTGGGGAAACTCTCTCCGGATCCTCCAGCGGCAGCAGCTGGGCAGGATGGCAAAGTCGGCGAGGTCCTGGGAGCCGAAGCGCCAGATGGTGTAGCACCTGTAGGCACAGTGCCGCAGCTGGCTGTTAGAGTTTTCATCCAGCTCCAGCAAGGGCTCCTGGTAGAGCAGGAGGAACTCCAGGAGCTGTCGGGACAAGACGAGCTGCCTGAAGGGCTCTGAGGTGGTGATGCAGGGACCCGCCTTTTTCCGACAGCACAGTTCTTCCAGGCATCTGTGGCTCTCGGGAAGCTGGGATGGGAGGCAGTGTCCACACTGGCACCAGTCTGGGCTGTTGCTGGATCTGGTAGCCACTTCGTCACTTAACAGCTGGATCTCCTCTGCTTGTCCAGGAATAGGGGATGGATCATGGAGAGACGGGGGCAGCCTGGACAAGTCCACTGAGGGTCTCTGAAAAAGTCAAGTTACCAAACCCATCAGCAGTGACAACCCCTAGGGTTCTAGGTCCTTTACTTTTGTCATTAACTTATAAAATTTTACTTACTATCACATTAATACCAGTAGCTATCATTTATTAAATGTATATATCAAGACTATCCCAGTGTTTTATAAACTTGCCCCGTTTAGCCTTTGAAGAACCTCATGAGATCTGTGCCCTTCTCTCCATTTTACAGATTTGGGAAGTGAAATTCAGACAAGCCAGGCCTCAGGCAGATATCTCCTGTTCATGGAGACCTTCTTGCCCTGACCCCCCCGATCTAGGTAGTTCCACCCCCACCCAGGTCACTCTCTTAGTGCATCATGAGATGCCGTGTTCTTCATAGTACTGTCACTATCTGAAATGATCCTACTCATTGATATGTCCTCTTGATGGTGGTTCTTCCAAATGGAAGTGGGGGGGCCCTGTCTGCTTTGTTACTGCTGTATCCCCAATGCCTAGGACAGTACCCAGCACATAGTAGACAGTAAATATTTGTTGATTTTGCTCTACTCTCTCCTTTTCCACGAGCCTCCCTCTTCCAGCAAATTCATTTGTTATCCTCCAAGAGGAGTTGCCATAATTGACATCATTTATATCTGTTCTTTGTAACATATACCTTCATTCACCGGACAAAGTTTGAGTCAGTACATTAAAATTAAATACTTCCTATATGTGAGCACTTACAGCAGCACTATTAACAATAGCCAAAGGGTAAAAACAACCCAAATATCCATCAACGGATGAACGGATAAAAATGTTATGTCCAGGGGCGGCTAGGTGGCTCAGTCGTTAAGTGTCTGCCTTCAGCTCAGGTCATGATCCCAGGGTTTTGGGATCGAGCTTCACATCGGGCTCTCTGCTCAGTGGGAAGCCTGCTTCTCCCTCTCCCACTCCCCCTGCTTGTGTTCCCTCTCTCGCTGTCTTGCTCTCTCTGTCAAATAAATAAATAAAGTCTTTAAAAAAAAAGTTATGTCCAAAACCTATACTTTCAGGGATCATTTCTATAGTTTGTTAAAAACATGTCATGTCCATACAGTGGAGTAGTATTCAGCCAAAAAAGGAACAATGTACTGACACCTGCTACAACATAGATGAACCTTGAAGCCATTATGAAAAGTTAAAGAAGCCAGTCACAAAAAGGCAAATACTATATGATTCCATTTGTATGAAATGTCCAAAATAGGCAAATCCATGCTGACAGAAAGCAGATTAGTGATTGCCAGGAGACCTGGGTGGCTCATTCGATTAAGCGTCTGCCTTTAGCTCAGGTCATGATCTCAGGGTCCTGGGATTGAGCCCCAAGTCAGGCTCCCAGCTCAGCGGGGAGCCTGCTTCTCCCTCTGCTGCTTTCCCTGCTCATTCTCTCACTCTCTCTCTCTCTCTCAAAAAAAAAAAAAAATGATTTCCAGGGACTAGGGGGAAGTAGGTATGAGAAGTGGCTGCTGAATGGATACAGGGTTTCCTTTTGGGTTGATGAAAAAGTTCTGGAACTAGATAGTGTGATGGTGGCACAGCATTGTGGATAAGCTTTTGAATTTTGAATTTTAAATGTCACTGAATTGTACACTTTACAGTGGTTAAAATGGTAAATTTTATCTGTATTCCCCTCCCCACCCCTCAGCTCATGTTACACCCAAACCCGATAAGGACATTACAAGAATGGAAAAACTGGCCAGTCTCTCTCGATAAGAGACATAAAAATCTTAAATATTAGTGAATTGAATCCAGCAATAAATACATAGAGTAATTTATTACCTTCAAATTGATTTTATTGCAGGAATGCAAGTTTGGCTTAACATTTGAAAATCAATTTCTGTAAGTCACCACATAACAGAAAAAAGAAAATTCATTGATCATTTTTTTAAAAGCAGAAAAAAGCATTATTTTAAAAATTCAGTGTTAATTTATGATAAAAATTCTTAGCAAACTAAGAACGGAGGGGACTTTTCTTAATCCAGTAAAGCACTCTTTAAAACCCTGCAGCAAATACTATAGTGAAATATGAAAAGCTTTCTTCCTGAGATAGGGAATGAGACAAAAAGATGTTTGCTATTACCACTTCTTTTTTTTTTTTAATGTTTTATTTATTTATTCATGAGAGTCAGAGAGAGAGAGAGAGAGAGGCAGAGGCAGAGGGAGAGGGAGAAGCAGGCTCCCCGCAGAGCAGGGAGCCTGATGCGGGACTCGATCCCAGGACTCTGGGATCATGATCTGAGCCGAAAGCAGATGCTTAACCATCTGAGCCTCCCAGGCGCCCGCTATTACCACTTCTAATCAGCATTGTACCAGAGGTCCTAGCAGGTGTAATGAACACCAGGAGCTGGAAGAGGCAAAGAAGGATCCTCCCTTAGGGCCTTCAGAAGCCCTACCAACACCTTGATTTCAGACTGCCAGCCTCCAGAATTGTGAGAGAATGAATTTCTGTTGTTTTCGGCTACTTAGTTTGTGGTGATTTATTATGGCAGCTGTAGAAATCATACAGTTATTGAAGATGTCCAGCGATCAGAGCTGCTGAGGAGAGCAGGAATTAAAACACCCCCTTTAGAGAATGGTTTGATAGTATCATATGCCAGCCTTCTGACCCAGCAGGTCCACTTGTAGGCACCATATGTTTACCATGGCAGCATTTCTGCATGAGCTCCAAAATAGAAACTACCCAAATGTCCATCAACAATAGAAGGGATAAATAAATTGGTTGTTTGTAAAATGGAAATTATACAACGAGAATGAACTATTGCTATATGCAGTGGCATGGATGACTCACAAAAACAATATTGAGTGAAAGAAGTCTGACACTCCACAGAGTATATACTGAGTACATACAGGATTCAAATTTTATAAAATCCTGGAAGAGATAAAACTAACCTTTGGGTACAGAATAATGATGACGTTTAAGGGAAGGTAGTGATTGGGTGGAGGCATGAAAAGGGCTTCTGCTAATAATATTCTGAGTTATATGTACTTTGTTAAAATTCATCAATTGTGATTTCCACACATTTATAGCTATATTTTTATTTATTTATTTTAAATATTTTATTTATTCATTAGAGAGAGAGAGAAAGAGAAAGAGAGCGCACGAGCGGGCTGAGGAGCAGAGGGAGAGGGAGAAGCAGGCTCCCCGCTGAGCAGGGAGCCCGACGCGGGGGCTCTATATTGGGCTTGATCTCAGGACCCTGGGATCATGACCTGAGCCAAAGGCAGACGCTTAACTGACTGAGCCACCCAGGTGCCCAGCTATATTTTTATTTAATAGTAAATTTTCTTTAAAAAAAAAAAAAGAATGTTTTAACTTACTGGGACTTTTTCACCTTCGACATTTTGCAGACTTTTTCCAAGTGGCTCCTGGTCCACCATCCTAATATGGGATTCATCCACAAAGGACACGTATTTTAATGTCTAGGAAAAGAGGGTTAAAAATTTTACCCATTTTTGTACAGAATTATCAACAATCACATACCTGAACATATCTAAAGGCAAGTGTTATTCCTATTTACCAAATGACAAACTGTTAGAAGCTGACCAAAAACTCTTGCTAGCCAAGAATGAATGATTTCTGAGTCCAAAGGTAAATCAGCAGTGAGACCCTATCCACCTTGATATGTGGACTTCAGAGACAGCTTACTGCCTGATGACTTTAGGTCTCCCACATGCTCTGTAAAAGTCCTTTTGTGTTCCCTCAATTTCAGTTACTCTAGATTGAATATCCTGAAAATTTTACTGTTGCAAACTTAAATTATTTATATTTTTGTTGACTTTCATCCTATCTTGGGCCATGAAATGGTAATTATTTTTAGTTGCAAAAATGAACTTTCATTTCAAATTGTATAATACATGTACAGCAGCCAGTGAATCGTGTCTTCAGCTGCTGGGAAAGGACAGTAATGTTCTTATGAGGGAAAGACAAAGACCCTCTTTGTTGTTTGAAGTACTGGAGGTTTCTCCTTGATTGGGGGAAATCATGGAATCAAATGTAGGGGACCTGCTTAGTAGAAGCCTAATTAAACAAATCAAAACAATACAGATGAGCTCAAATTCCGTTTGACTCATTCCGCATCCTAGGTTCCTTTGTAGAAGGAATCACTGTGGTCACTTTTGTGTGTACCTTTTTGTATGCATATATTATCCTCCCTATACACCTCCATGCATGTGTATAATAAATGTAGAAACTATACAGAGCATATATAAAATATATAGAATGTATGTGTGTTATTTGTATGATTATATATGGGCACACATATAATACATGTAGAAAATACATGGGATGAGCTCATATCATATGTGCAGTTGTCTTTTAACCTATATATCATACCGTATATATTGCTCTATAGTTTGTTTTTTTTCCTTTCAACAACACGTTTTGGATATTTGCTCATGCCAGTACCTCTAACATAGTGGTTATGAAGATGAATTCTGAAATCAGCCTGCCTGAGTTGGAATTCCAGCTCCCCTGCTACTAGCTGTATGACTTCAGGCAAATTATTTAACCCTCCTGCACCTCAATTTCCTCATCTTTAGAAAGATGACAGTAGCACCTATTTATAGGGTTGTGTGAAGATTCTATGAATTAATATATATAAAGCACTTTGAAGTTCTACAGCAATGTTTACTCTTGTTATTACCCACGTATTCTTTTAAACTGGTGCCTGGTGCTCTTTGCTATGGACTGGTCATAGTTTCACCATCCACCTGTTGGACATTTGGGTAGATGCTCTTTCTTGAGGGTAGGTACGGAGAAGTAGAAATGCCAGGCTGTAAAGTATGTCCCACCTAAATGTTATTAGATACTCTGCCAAGTTGTTCTCCAAAGTCACTGTACCAATTTAATAAATCTGACAAAATCGACAAGTCCTAGAACATAAACATTTGTTCTCCCTCTATCTTGTCTCTTCATTTTTGTTTCTATTCTTCCCTAAGACCAAAGGATTCATCTGAGAGATGGTGGATCAGGGTAGAGTCCAGAGACTTGTCCACCATGGGATTACACCTATGATTTGGGCCTTATTTTTGCATGTTTTTCAGTGACCTGACCGACACTCTGGGTATTTTGGCACCTACTGATGCCGTGAGCCTTACCGGCTTTGGCTCCACAATGTGCTCACACTTCTTCCTGTAGTAGTATTCATTGGCTGCACAGCATTCACACCGCTTGCAAAAGGAATAAATGCAGGATCGACAGCATTTACTGAAGTAAGGTTTGATGAGGAAGTCGATTACCACAGTGGCCTGGGAAAAACCCAGATCGGTGCCATGTTAGTGAGATTTCTTTTTGCCAAATCACTTTCCTAAAGTATGGGAAAGAGAATCCCTTACCAAACCAAAGTAGGAGATGACTGAGCCAATGTACACGACCAACTGGATAATGTTAAATTTTCCTCCCTGAAAACAAATGGGAAGGTGACTTGGTTGACATTCAGAGCAATGCTCTTTTGCTCTACCATGTAATTGTCAGCTCCAGCAGAGGAGGGAGTCTATGTTCATGGCAACAGAGACTGCAGACTGAAAATAGGATTCCCGTTGATCCTGTTCCTGCCTTCTGGGATGCGCTCGAAAACATGACTGTTTTAAACAAAGAAGCACTGGAACCCGCACACTGAGTTTGTTGTTTTTCCATACAAGGTGAGAGCTTTAGACAAGTTTTCCCTAAAAGTGGTTTGAGATTACCTTGGAAGCAGAGGAAAGGAATGTCTGCACACTCTTAACTTAGGTGTCCTTGTGGTTTTTCTTCTCAATGATCTTTCCATTCTCTCAGCTTCTATCCCGTTGACTCTTGTGTTGCTTACCACCCACCGTATGACATAACATATAACATAAATAATACAGTTTTGGACAAGGCGTTGTGAGCATCTATGGAGTTCTGCATGCCCACTTCCTTCTTATGGAGACAACCCCCCAGTTATCCTTTGGAGAACCATCTCTGTCCATACTTGGTCCATATTAGTTTGAGGGGAAGGGGCTAGTTCAGGGCGGGTCCAAGACCAGCCACTGAGAGTATGGTGTGGCCTAGACATAGTGATTGGTTCAGCACAGGGCACGTGGCCCATATTGGGCCAGTCAGAGCCAAAGGCATCTGCCTGAATCCTTTGCTGAACCTTTTAGCAAAGAGATAATTCTCTTTTTATTGAGACTGCTGGACCAGTAAGATATAAGGAGCTGCCTGTAGACATGGCCAACTGAGGATGATGCCAAAACAGAGGAGAACAGATATAAGAAATGGAGGGAGGCAGATTCCTAAGGAAGTTGTTTGAACATCTGGATCCAGCTGTGCCTGAAGCCTGAAAACTGCCCCTGGAATTTTCAGCTATGTGAGATTTAAAAAAAAAAATTTTTTTTCCCTAAGCCAATTTGAGTTGGCTTCTGTTACTTATAAAGTATTTTGCAAAAAGGATTTCTTTCTTTCCCTCTCTCTTTTTAAGCATCAGAATATTTTTAAAGTTGAATATTCAGTTTTTTTCCCAATCCCACTCTTGTAGTCATGAGATGACTTCATCATGGACAGGACCCCAAGGACATGTCTTCCCCCTCTTATCCCAAATGCAAGATGCACAGTGCCAGTTAATGACTATGACCAAAACATTCACCCCTTGAGGCACTACAGCAATAATTAGGACACAGTCACAGGAATGGAGGTGCCAGTGGCTGGGAGCAGAGACTTACGGTGCCGAAAACCAGAATGTCAAAACGGATCCCAAAGACTTTTATTAGAGTCCGTTTTTCAATGTTGTTTTCCTTATAGTACTTGGCGAATCTGTAGGAGGAGAAGGATCCATGTTTATAAAAATCTGTCTGAACGTGCTGGTATTTCATGAAAGGAAAACCCCAAACAGGAGCCGAGCTAGTCTTCCTTGTTCATCTTCTAGCTCTGCTGCAGTTGGCAGAGGGAAGAACATAATCCAAACCCACAAATTACTCTCTTGGAACCAAAGCACCACTTCCCACGTTGCCTCCTCTTCTTCCGCCATCACAGAGTGATACAAAATCTGCTTTCCATTTAAGATTAAAGTGAACAATTTTTAACTAATACAGTATTAACAACAAACAGACAAATTAAAAAAAATAGTTTCAAGCAAATCCGATTATTTCTTAAGGGAGTTTGGCTTCTAGAACAAAGTGGGGTGGGGATCCTAGATACTAATGGCTGGATTGGGGCTAGGTGCCCCTCCGCAATCTGTTCTAATTGCATTTTCTTAGATTCTGTATTTGTCTATTTGCAACTGTTATCACAGGGCCAAACCAACAGCCACCATTGTTTACATCTTCCCTGTGATCCAGCTTTTGCGAGTGCCTGAAAATCATGTTACAGACCCTCTGACCAATCTTGAATCCATATCCCCAACCACCCCCCTCACTAACCCTCACACATGAGCCAATATTCCCCCCTGCGCCAGGTCACCCAGGGCCAAGTAACCCAGGGCCAGATAACCCACAGCTAGAGAATGCACCTGTAACCCAGAGCCTGCCCACATTACTCAAGCAGGCCAATCCTAGGCTGTTGCCCTGCCCTACCTTGCCTGTCCCATGGAAAACACAATGAAGTTTCTGGGCCATGCTTTCCCCTTGATCCTTACATCTCCTGACCAAACCCAGTGCTTCCCCTATGGCCCTGTGTGGCATGGTATGCCCCTCCTCTTGGGAGATGTAAGTAATAAAGCCCTTTCAGTATCAGTGACCTCTCCATGTCAGTACTCAGCCACCTTCATAAATTAAGACGGGCACAAATCACAATCACTCGAAATACGCAGCTCTCACCAGTGTTACAGTCAGGAAAAGCGGAATGTTTTGTTTTCATGGATAATTAGGAAGGCTTAAACCACACACCTCGCAAAATTTTTCAATCTGTCCCTCCCTGTGAACCACCTTTTGGAGGTTGTTTTTAGGTAAGATATTTTCTTTCTGAGTTACTAATTTACAATCTATTTACAGGTGTGGAGAGAGAAGAAAACAGAAGACAGATGCTCTGCCAGAATCCAGTATGGAGCATTTGAAACTCCTATTTTTTTTAACTCTCAAAATGTGATGTTGAGATCAGTTAGATATTCTTAGGTGCTTCAACACCTATTTCTGGCCAGAGGGTTTTGATTTCTTTGCTTCTGATTGTTCTCATTCCATAACAGTTCTTTCTTCTGCTTCTCTACTGAGTGATTTATTTTTTAATACACAAAGCAAAGGGTCTTGGGACAGTGGTTCTTGAACTAAGGATAAGAATCACTTGGGGAGTGTGTTCAAAGGTAGATTCCTGGGCCTCACCCCCCAGAGGGTGGTTTCAGAAGGTCTGAGATGTTTCTGGAAAGGTGCCAGGTGGATCTGGTGCCCGTGGCCAGTGGTCTACACTTTGAGAAACACTAGACCCTGAGCAGAATGGTTTTTTTTGCACAAACCGTTATTCAACGGTTTGAATAATGCTCCCCCCACCCCCCAAGAAGGTAGGTCCAAGTGCCTAACCCCTATACCTGTGAATATGACCTTATTTGGAATAGGGTCTTTGCAGATGAGATCATCCTGGATTTAGGGTGGATCCAATGACTTGTGTCTTTATGAGAGAAAGGAGAAGAGAGTTGAAACAGAAACACAGAAGAGAAGCTCACATAAAGATGGAGGCAGACATTGGAGTGATGCAGCTTCAAGTCAAGGAACACAGGGAGCCACGGGAAGCTGGGAGAGGCAAGGAAAGATCCTCCCCTAGAGACTTCAGAGACTGTGCCTCTGCTGCCTCCTTGATTTTAGACTTCTGGCCTCTAGATCTGTGAGAGAATACGCTTCTGTTGTTTCTTTCTGTTCAGGCATGCAGTGTGGGCCTGCCCTGTTTTATACGTGCTGTAAATAAATGGAATTACATGTTTACCGAATACAGACCTTTTGTTGTGGATCTTTGGTAAAGGACAAAATTCTATAACATGATCAGCTTCTTCAACTTCCTGTTTTAGGAAGTCCTGTTTTTCCATAAAACTCATATAACCTGTAATTCCCTTCTTTTTGTGTGTGTGTGTGTGTGTGTGGCTGTTTGAAAATAACCTGTCCAGTTATCCATCAGAACTTGACAATTTATTTCTGGCCAAAGATTTCTTCTGGTGCTCATCCCAGACAACAAATGCTCTAACATGTTGTTCTAAAAGCATATTAATATCATAACCACCTCAGTTCTTCAGAAAGCTCAGATCTCTCCAGGAGCCAATGTTCTTAGGCTTACCTCAGCGACTCAAAGGACATTTGCTAACATCTGTTTGGGACATTGCCCTGCATACTTCTGCAGACTGCTTAAAACAAAAACAAAAACAAAAAAACCAGCCTGCGAAGGCAGTTAGGGGACCACCGATCCAATTGTCTCTTCTTGCTAATGGCCATAAGTCTGTTCAATAGAGCATTAGGGGATATCAAAGTGTTACCTCAACTAGGAGCTGCTTTCAGGGCCCTGGATGAAACTTCACTGACCCAGAGGAGGCGAAAAGCATCTTGTGTCTTGATCTCAGCTGGCCTTTAGTCAAGGGTCTCAAACTCAAATGCCAACATGGGCCAGGCAGGTGACAGAAATGAGTGATGCAGGCCAGGTATAAGGCAATAGGGAGTGGTGGGGACTGTAGCAAACAAACAAACCCACATACCCTTTCTAAAGGGAACCACTGACACCTCCAGCGGAGTGGTGCTGTGGGGGATATGAACCCTGAGTTGTCAAATGGTTTAGTTTTTTTTTTCCCAAATAGTTAAATTTTTCGAGAAAAGTAAGAAGTCCAGATTTTTATGTAGAATGTCTCAACTTTCAAAACATTGTAAAGGCAAAAGACAAGTAATAAAAATAAAGACACAGTTGAAGTCTGCCTGCCAGTTTATGATGCTGCTTTGGGTAAAATGTAGAGACCCATTTGCTTGAGCAGATCCCCTCCAGAAGTCAGTAGGAATGCGAGCAGAAGTGTTAGGAAGCAGTGAATATGTGTGTGTACACGCACACGTGCACTTTTGCCTACACTTGCATGTACAGATTAAGTAGACGCCTTGTTTTATTCACTCCGCCAGGAGACTGGCAACCTGGTTGTAGAGACAAAATGTAGTCAGCTGAAGGCTGACTAAAGTATGTTTGGGGTGCTAGATGATCTAGCCTAGACTAGTGCTTCTCAAACTTCAATGTGCACATGAATCTTCTGGGAGTCTTGTTATAGTGCAGATTTCGATTCAGTTCATCGAGTGGGGCCTGAAATTCTGCATTATAACAAACTCCCAGGTGAGGCCAGGCTGCTGGTTCCAGGACTACACTTTGAGTATGGAGGTTCTAGATCGGTGGTTCTCACACCTGAGAGGCTCTCACTTAGAGGGCTTATGAAGACAATCCCCAGGGTGTCTGATTCAGTAGGTCCAGGGCAGAGCCTGCGAATGTGCATTTCTAACACGTTCCCAACACGTGTTGCTGATGCTGGGCATTGCACTTTGAGAAACACTGGTCTACACTGTTAATGCTAAAGGTATTCAGAGAGGCTACAAAGTTTTGCAAGGTGATCCCCCTAACATGAGCTCCTGTCTATGCAGTTTCTCTTCCTAACTAGGAAAGCACACGATATCTGCAGGGGTCCTATCCTGTGCTTGGAGAGGCCTTCTCTGGTCACTTCCCCCACTTCTACCCCTCTGCTCTGCCCCAACCCTGCAGTACAGTATCTTGTTTGATTTTCTTCCCAGCATTTATCATCATCTAAAATGGTCTTATTGGAGTTGTTTGCTCTATTGAGGTATAGTTTACATATAATAAGGCACACAAGTCCTAAGAGTTGAGTTCAATGAGTTTTGACAAATGAATACACTGTATAGCTTTACCCCTATCAAGATCTAGAACATTCCATTGCCTCAGAAAACTCTCCTGGTCTCCTTTCCAATCAGTTCCTATTTGGCCTCCCCCATCCCCCACTCTCCAGAGCAGCACCCACTGTTGCCTTTTGTTATCATAGAAAAGTTGTTTTGCCTGTTCTCGTACTTCATATAAACGGCATCATACAGTATGGCTCGTTTCGATCTAGCTCCTTTCACTCAACATAATGTTGGTGGGACTCCTCTATGTTGTTGCTTGTGCAAGTAGTTTGTTCCTTCTTCATTTATACTAACTAGTGCTTTATTATATAAATATACCCCATTTTATTTCTCCGATCACCTGTTGGACATTTAGGTTGTTTCTGGGTTTTGGTAATGATGATGAAGGCTCTTGTGAACATTCATGTACAAATCTTTGTGTGGACCTGTGTTTTAAGAGTGGGGTTTCTGGATTAGAGGATAGATGTATGTTTAACTTTATAAGAAACTTCCTAATGGTTCTCTAATGTGGTTGTACCATCTTACACTCCCACCAGGGAACTAGGAGAGTTCCAGTTGCTTTTCCACCTTGTCAGCATTTGGAACTGCCAGCCTTTTAAAAATTTTTACCTATTCTGGGGGGTATACGTAGGTGTTTCTCATTGTGGTTTAAATTTACATTTCCCTGATGACTAACGATGTTGCCTTATTGGAGTTCTTAATTTACTTATATTCTTGTCTTATATGTTATAATGACTTATATTCATGTCCTACTAGAATATAAGCCAAGTAGTAACTTTGTCCATTTTGTTTACCAATATATACCCATTGGCACAACAATATTTTTTTTCATTGCTATATATTTGATGGACGAATAAATAAGGAGCACCAATATCAATTTCCTACTGGCTTCATAGGCAAAATGATTGTATAGCCATTATTCTAGGGATGTAGTTGGCAACTTTTTTTGAAAAGGGAATAGGATAAGCCTACTTTGTGTCTGGAACCAAATGGCACAAAAGGATCAGCCATAATAACAATCACCGAAACCTGCCTGGTACCTGTAAGCAATGAGAGGTCATGGAACCTCAAACTTAAGGACCAAGTCAGTGCTGGGGCAGAGTTGTAGCAACAGGCTGAAGAAATGATCCAGACATAGGAGGTAACATGGAAATGAAGTTAGGATGACACAGGATCACTACCGGGGAGAAGTCAGAAGCAGAGGCGTGAACTGTGCAGAGGGTCAAAACAAGAGTGGAGTAGGTCAGCCCCAAATCAGTACCAGCCAGTTTCAGTGGTGAAAATGAACCGGGAGTCTAGTCAGCTCTTAAAGGGTTGAAGTCCAGGAGTAAGAAGCATACAAGGTGCACTACAAACAAAGAACCTTACAAGTCAGATGAGACTGCAGTGGGGCAGCAGGGTGGCGTCAGGAGTCTTAAATATGTTCTTACCAAAAAGACTTCCAGTCAGGGTGGCAGCCTGAGGGCCAGTACAGGATGCCCACCACCTCCCACCGCATACAAAGAAATGCAAGATAAAATATATTTTTTAAAGTCATACCAATGTATTACTGAGCTCAAAACAAGGAAAGACATTTTCTAGGTGCTAGAGATGAGTGGGGAGTGGGAGCCATGTCTGGAGTCTGGAATCTGTCCCCTAGGAGTACCCCAACCAGATCTGCTATCTGAGGAGCTCGAGTCTTACCCTAGAAGGGTAAGGGAGCTGAGGCTGCAGGAGCCCTACCCAGGGAGGGAGGAGGGATAGGGTACTTTCAGCAGAGTGAAGACATTCAGTGCCCAGAAATTAAACCAAAAACTGATTGATAATTGATAGATGCCATACAGTCCTGCAGACTAGAAAATTACATAATCACCCCAGAAGAATGCCTCCGCATCCCACAGCACACACAGAACTTTGCACAAGACCTTTCCTGCTGAAACTCACCAACAAATACTTCAAAGCCTCCGAAGAAGAAATCCCACTCAAGTTACTACAGATAATGGGTCAGGGTGAAAGGGGTTACACAGTAGAACTGCCAGAAGGAATAGGGTCCATAAGGTCAGAATGGACCTCGCTGAAACAGTAATAGATGGCTCTGAGAAAGAACTGAATATAAACCTGAGAAATGAAAAATACAGGCATAGGAAAAAAATTAAAAACCTGAAAGCATATGATAAAATGTTAGTCACCTTTGATCCAGTAATTCTACTTCCAGAAATTTATCCTAAGGAAACAATCTGGAATTCAAAGATTTATGTACAAAATGTGCAGTGTAGAATTATTTGTAATAGAAAAACTAGAGGCACCCCAAATGTCCGGTAATGGAGGAATGGGCAAGAAAACCACTCGATGGAAGGAAAAGTGTGTGGGTTTGGGGGTCAGAGTGACCTAGGTTAGTTAGGCTTATGGAGCTGTTAGCTGTGGGTCCTGGGCAAATCATTTCACCTTTCTTGGCTCTACCTGAGAACACAAATATCCACCTTCCAGGGTTGATGTGAGGTGGAGAGGTGATGCCGTCGAGGGCCTGGTGTATAAAAGACCCACCCTCAGTTGTGCGTCTTGTTATCATTATGCTTGCACGGTGGAATCATTAACGTGAACCATTAATCATTAATGTGAATCAATAACGAATCATAACCATCACGTTATGATTCCACAAGGAATTCTGAGTGACCCAGGGAATGGCAAAACAAACACACAAATGCAGAATACCAGGTTATAAGTGTGATCTGCTCTCATAGAAGCCTCATGAAAGAATTGGTTAAAGGAAGGAAAATTCACCAGTTTCTTTGATTATCTCAGGGTTGAGGAATTATGGGTGATTTATATCCTCCTCTGTCTGCTCTTCTCTGCCTCCCCAATTTTGTTTCTGTTTTACAGAGTGTGTATCACTTTAATAATTAAAAAGAAAAAAATTCATACAAAAATCCAGTCACCCCTGGTTCTTAGAGGAAGCTTTTTGCATTCACCTTCTTGCCTTGGGAACCAAAATTAATTCTCACTGACTGCTGGGGATGCAATTCAGCGGGGCCTGGAGGTTTCTGGGCGCTGTTACCTGAAGTTGTAGCCAGGGTACAAGGACTCATTGGTGGTTTTGTCATCAAGGCGACGGAAACTGTATTTTGGACGACAGTGATGGAACCAACCATCCAAGTTGCAGTCCCAGTAGATCTCAATGCCCATGATCCCTCCCTGGGGAAGAAAGGAGACACAGTCTCTAAGTCCTGCTGCACATGGGACGCAGCTGCCAGACCTCTCCCTGCACAGGGTTGATAACTAAGGGAAGGTTTTCTTTTTAGAGGGAAACACAGATTGACGTTTCAGAGCCACGAGTGCAGTCCCATCTAACACACACAAGTGGCTGCAAACGCATTTCCCTGCTCCTCCTCCCATCTGGACACACCCTTAGATTTATTTTCCTAAAAATACAACTTTCAGTAAATCTCTTCCATAATCTAACACCTTGAATGACCCCCCCCATTAAAGATTAAGTTGAAGCTTGTTACACTGGAATTCAGGGAACCCCATCACATATCTTTTCTGCTTTACCTCCCAACACTCCTCTGGAGAAAGCTCTTATTTCACACTGTCTACACTTTCCCCTAAACACAATTGGCATTTTTATTTTTTTTAAACAGCTTTATTAAGATATAGTTCACATACAATTGGTACAAGTGTATAAAAGTGTGTAATTCAACAGGTTTTAGTATATTCACATATACGTGTGACTGTCGCCATAATAAATTTTACAGCAGTTTCATTGCCTCAAACAAACCCCCTAAACTTTTAGTCAATGCCCCTTTCCACCCCTCCTCTCAGCCCTAAGCAACCACCAATTTACTTTCTGTCTCTATAGAGTTCCTTATTCTGAACTTTCTTTCCTGTGAATGAAATAATATAATATGTGATCTTTTGTGATGGACTTCTTTTACTTAGCATAATATTTTTATTTTTATTTTTAGTTAGTTATTTTTTTAAGTAGGCTCCATGCCCAGCGTGGAGCCCAGTGTGGGCCTGAACTCACAACCCTGAGATCAAGACCTGAGCCGATATCAGTAGTAGGACACCTAGCTGACTGAGCCACCCAGGTGCTCCCACTTAGCATAATATATATATTTTTAAGATTTTATTTATTTATTTGACAGAGAGAGACAAAGCGAGGGAAGGAACACAGGAAGGAGAAGTGGGAGAGGGAGAAGCAGGCTTCCCACCAAGCACAAAGCCCGATGAGGGGCTCCATCCCAGGACCCTGGGATCATGACCTGAGCCGAAGGCAGACACTTAACGACTGAGCCACCTAGGCGTCCCCATAATATATATATATTTTTAATTTATTTATCTGAGAGAGAGAGCCAGAGGAGGAGCAGAGGGAGAGGGACAAGAAGACTCTGTGCTGAGCACAGAGCCCGACGTGGGGCTCAATCCCAGGACTCTGAGATCAGGACCTGAGCCAAAATCAAGAGTCGGATGCTTAACTGAATGAGCCACCAGGCGCCCCTTCCCATAATATTTTTATTTATTTATTTTTTAAAGATTTATTTATTTGAGAGAGTGAGAATGAGAGAGAGAGAGAGAGAGAGTACATGAGAGGGGGGAGAGTTAGGGGGAGAAACAGGCTCCTCGCTGAGCAGGGAGCCCGAAGCGGGACTCGATCCCGGGACTCCAGGATCATGACCTGAGCCGAAGGCAGTTGCTTAACCAACTGAGCCACCCAGGCGCTCCTACCATAATATTTTTAAAGTTCACCCATATTGTAGCCCATATCAGTACTTCATTCCATTTTATGGTGGAAGAATATTCCATTGTGTGGATAGACTACATTTGGTGTATCTATTTATCCTTTGATAGACATTTGGATTGTCTCCACCTTTTGGCTATTATGAATAACGCTGCTGTGAACACTTACAATGGGTGAGTTTTTGTGTGGACATGTGGTTCATTTCTCTTGAGTATACACTTAGGAGTGGAATTGCTGGGTACACTTGAACTTTTAGGTCTCACCCCTTGTCTTTTCTCATTGAAATATTTCTCCTACCATCTCTCTAGCTAAATCCTCATCATCCTCCAACTTACAACCTTCCTTATGCATTCAGTCACCCCTCCTCCTCAATTCAAGGTGATCTTTCTCTTCTCTGAACTTCTAAGGAATCTCTTAATCTCTTACCTCTACTTGGTACTTCTTTCTTCCTACAAACATGTTTTGAGCACTATCTTATTTCACTGATTCTTAGACACCATTGCTTATCAGACAAGTAATTTTCTTTTTCTCTTCTCCGAAGGAAATGCTGTCAATTAAACTGAAATTCCCTCATCGAAAGCACTTTCTGATTTCAGAAAGATTAAAATGTGAAAAAAGTATGTCTTTGAATCGATGAAAGATGGTATTTCAAGACAGTATGCTAGATGCTAGGGATAAAAAGATGAGTAGCAAGCAGACGCTGACTTGGAGAAAGGGGAAATACAGACTAATCACAATCGTCATTTATTGGCATGAAGCCAAGCACTCTGTGTATTTTTGTGAATATCTGATGTTTCTGTTATTTAGCATCCAGTTCTCCTGGGTGAAAATGCCTGGAATTTTCTTTGGGAAATGTCTATCCCAGCTGAGTGGTTTAAATGGAACTGTCCCCTCTCCCAGCTCCCAGAATGGCAAGATGGTCTAGGCCTGGCCAGTAAGGACCTGACGACTGGTTCAGGAATAGGTATGTGGCCCAAGATAGACCCAATCAGAGTCTTCTCTGAGACATTTTGCCAGAACCATAAAAAAGAGGGCCTCTATTGGTTGGGACCACTAGCCAGAGATTGTGACAGTCCACAGCAGCATTGTCCAACAGAATCTTCTGCAGTGATGGAAATATTCTATATTCATGCTGTGCAATAAAGTAGTCACTGGCCACATGTGGCTATTAAGTGCTTGAAATGTGGCTAGTATGACAAAGGAAATAAATATTTCATTTCATTTCAATTAATATAAGTTTAAATAGCTTCATGTGACTAGTGGCTCCCATATCAGACAACACAGTCCTAGGACTTTGGTGGCTTTGCCTTGACATGTGGACAGTCTGCCTACAAATGACATCATCATTAAGGAAGCAGCAAAGAGATGAAGGGAGTCAGATTCCTAAAGACATCACTTGAGTTCCTGGATGCAGCCATGCCTACTGCTATCGCATGCTTCATTCAGTCAATAAATATTTATTGAGTGTCCATTATGCTAAGCATTATACAAAAATTAACAAAAGATTCCAAAGACGCCTGCCCTCATGAAACTTCTAGTCAGGGAAGACAGACAACAAACAAATGGATATACAAAATATATACTATGTCAGATAGTGCTAGGTGCCAGGGATAAAAATAAACCTGGCAAGGGCCATAGAGCATGCTGGGATAAGGGGTAGAGATTGAAATTGTCATTTTAAAATTTTTTTCAGAGAGTGGGGAGGGAGAGAGAATCTTTGTTTTTTTTTTTTTTTTTAAAGATTTTATTTATTTATTCATGAGAGACAGAGAGAGAGAGAAGCAGAGGGAGAAGCAGGCTCCCCACTGAGCAGGAGCCCGATGCGGGACTCGATCCCATCATGACCTGAGCCGAAGGCAGACACTTAACCATCTGAGCCACCCAGGCGCCCGGGAGAGAGAATCTTAAGTAGGCTCTATGCCCAGTGTAGAGCCTGAGGCGGGGCTCGATCTCACAACCCTGAGATCATGACCTGCGCTGAAATCAAGAGTCTGACGCTTAACCAACTGAGCCATGCACGTGCCCTGAAATTGTCATTTTTTAAAGGTAGTAGTAAGGGAAAGCTTCACTGAGCTTATATTTGAGCAAAGATTGGCAGAATGTGAGGGAGACAGCTAATGCTATGTGTGGGGCAAGACTGTTCCAGGCAGAGGGGACAAGCGGAAGAAAACTCCCAAGGTGGGGTGCTCCCTCTTTAAAACAAACAAATAAATACAATCTTTTAAAAAAAGAAAGGAAAAGAGAACTCCCGAGGTATGGAAGTGCCTTGGGTGTACTAGAAAGTCCATTTCCCCTGGTGTCTTTACATGAGTTAATAATACATGGTTCTTTTTTTTCCGCTTAAGCCGGTTGAGTTTGGTTTCCTTTTGCCCCCAAAATGCTTTTTAATTTATTCTTCGCTTACATTATTTGAGTTGGATGTCCGTAAGGTGCAACTGGAAGAATCCTGACAAATCCAAGTGTGGTGGTCTGAATAATGACTCCCAAAGGTATTCCTAATCCCAGGTCCCAACCCTCGGAATCTTCAGATATATTATCTTATATGGCAAAAGAGACTGCAGATGTGATGAACTTAATGGGGAGATTATCCTGGGTTATCCAGATGGGCCCTACATGTTTCCTTTTATAAATGCTCTCTCTGAAAAAGACCAGTATCTTTATAAGAGGGAGGCAGAGGGAGACTTGGCACAGAATAAGTCAATGTGACCACTGACGCAAGATACTATGCAGCTGGCTTCGAATCTGGGAGAAGGGGCTACAAGCTTCTAGCTCTAGAAGGTGAAAAAGGCCAGGAAATGGATTCTCCTGTGGGGCCTCTGGAGGGTTCGTGGCCCCACTGATATCTTGATTTTGGTCCAGTGAAACTGATTTTGGACTTCTGACTCAAGGACTCCAGACCTCTGGCGTGTTGTTTTAAGCTGCTGAGATCGTGGTGGGTTATTACAACCTAGTCTCAGGAACTACTGCTTCAGGGATGTGACTCACAGGGTTGTTGTTGGATTAGGTGGGGTAATAATGCAGGGAAAGACCTTGGCACCGACCAGGGATTTACTGAATGCTCAATAGATGGAGCCCTGTAACTAAGACCCAGGGGCCTGGCCTCTTGGCTATTTGACATCTTCCACCCCCCCGAATCACACCCTCGCCATCCAAAGATACCACCAACCTGAATTGCCACATCTGAAAAATTATCTCCTGTTTCTTGGAAGATATCTCCTAGTCGGAAAATGGGACACTGTGGATTCTGAGTCTTGTGAAAGGTACAGGTGATGTTTACACCTGGCAAGATGTTTCTCCTGCATGCAACGAGAAACAAACAAACAAACAAACAAACAAACATGTTTTTGAAAACTGAGACCTATTTCTTTCATGCAATGAGCCAGTTGGTAGCTGGGTTCCATGAGGGGCCCCGGGGATCCTCAGCCCCTGGGATTCACACCCTTGTGTAGTCCCCTCCCATCCCGTGCTGGGTTGGTCTGTGACCACTAGCATGTGGCAGAAGTGATGGTGTGTCACTTCCGAGCTTAAGTCATAAAAACCTGTGACTTCCATCTTGTTTACTGTATTGGTGGCTTGCTGTCTGTCCCTCTCGGATCACTTGCCCTGGGGGAAGCCAGACACCATTCCTAAAGGACGCTCAGGCAGTCCAAGGGATGGTCCATATGGTGAGGAACTGAACCTCCTGCTGACAACCAGGTGAGTGAGCTTGGAAGAGGATTCTAGCCCCAGTCAAGCCAGAGATGACTGCAGTCCCCACTGACAGCCTGACTGCAACCCGAGAGACCCTGAATCAAACCATCCAGCAAAGTCTTTCCCACATTCCTCACCCACAGAAACTGTATGAGATAATAAACGTGGGCTGTTAAGCTTCTAAATTTTGGCTAATGCATTACACAGCAGCAGATAGCTAATGGCTAGACATTCTAGGCACTTACGTGGTGTAGTTGTGGCCAGGGAAGTCAATGTTATTCTTGACGAGCACAGTGAAGTTTTCGGCACTCTTCAAGAGCGCGGGCCTGAGAGAGAGATTCGAAATGGGGATCAGTGGGCCAGTGGGACCACAGGCTTCTGGCTTCTAGCGCGGGTCATTGCAATGAGTGAAGAGAAATGTAGTCTAAGGGGGCAAAACCTTCCTAAAAATCTAAAAAAGAGTAAGAATTTCTTTCTTCCTGAGACCCCATGGCATTTACTATAACCCTTCTCACACTCTGATGTAATTGTATGTTTAGGTATGTGTGATGATGTGTTGGTAAATGTTTAACATTTCTTTCCCCCAGTGGGGAAGAAAAGCTCTGATCTATAGCATTTACTGATTACTGTGGTATAAGTACCCCCACCATGGCTGATCTCAAGCCATTAGTGGGTATCACTGAGCTTGGAGTTGGGAAGGGATGAGCATAATTGGCTCAGAGTCAGTATAAGCCAGCTCCAGCACACCTCTGTTTGTGTCTTTCCCAGTAGACTTGGATTTTTCTTATCTTGGCATCCATGGCCTTTAGCACAGGGCCACACATATAGTAGGCTCTATTAGTCATAGGTTGATAGGCTCTGAGGAGCATAAATTCTCCATGAGTTAGAGGAGCTCAAATCCTAGACTTTAGGAAGGTCCACCGACAACCCATAGATTCATTCATTTGACAGATATTTATTTATTCTGCTGGGCATGGGGCTAGGCATTGGGAATATAGTGATGAACAAGGCAGTCAAGGTTTTTGTCCTTAGGTAGTTGACAGTCTGCTAAAGATGGAGAGAATTGGCTGTGGATAAAGAGATACAGCTGGTACCTTATTGTTGGCAGGCCTGAGTGGGTGGCAGATATATATAAGGGGAGTAGCACCAGGAAAGGATGGAGGTATTTGGAAGGGGGCACCAAGATGATCTACTTTTTATTCCAAAATTGCCAGAGCCCAGCTTTGCCTCTATTTAGGATATAACTATAGAGAACACTATAGTTTTTGCCTGCCCAGCATCCATTTCCCCTCTGTTAGAACCACCTCAGTTTTCTCCCTTTGGGATAGCCAGGTCTCTTCCACTCAGCCCAGAGGGTTGGGTGGGGAGGAGTCCATCTCCTGCCCATCCTTACAGCTCCCAGGATGGGCAAGTGACCCAGAGCTGGCTAAACAGAATAACCCAATCCTCTTGGCTATAGTGATTGGTTCATGATTGTTATGTGACTTAGGCCAATGAAAACATTCTAGCGTTTTTGTAGGAAATACTGGAAAAAGAAAAACTCATTTTTCTTTAGGATTGCTAGTAGTAAAGACAGTGTAAACCCGGAGTTCCCTGGACCACAGTGTGAGGAAAACCAAAATGGAAGAAAGAATAACTCGGGTGGGGGGTGGGGGTTGGAAAAGACAGAAAGAAAAAGAATCTTAATGACATCATTTTTATTTGAGGCCTGGATCAAGCCTTTCCTGAAGCTAGTACTTCTGGACTCCTCATTTACAGGAATTAAAAAAAATAATAACATTGTCTTTTTTCCTGAAGCCAGTTTAAGTTGTATTTCTGACATTTGCATAAAAAATCTTATTTACAACAAATGCCTATGACATGCCAGACTGTTTACCCTTAGAACATCCTAAATCCCATGCTTCCTGGGCAACATTCTAAGAATAAGAGGACTTGAAACTTGAAGGATCAAAGTCCTTTCTTCCTCTCTTATGACACTCTTAACTTTCTGCCTTGAACTGTAGTTCTCTGTGCACGTCTTACCTCTGATTAGCCTGCAAGAGGCTCGGGACCTTCTCACTATCTGGGTCTGCTTGTATTTTTAGCACAGTCTCTTGTGCATAGTTACATGTAAAATTAATATCTAATACCTCCTACGTGGTATTGGATGTGTTGACTGAATGATTAAATGAATCATTTTAGTAATCCCTTTGCATAAAATATGAGGAAACTGAAGTTCAGGGGGTTGCTTGCCCAAGGTCATGTAAAATTGCAGTCCAAGAACCTGCACATTGGAGATGCCCAGTATTTATCTGATGAATAAATTAGCAACTGAAAACTACAGGTAATCAAGAGGGCTCTTTCCTTGAACCAGGGACTACTTGAGTGTTAGCCGATAGCTCACTCAAGCCCTGGGCAATTCTTCCTGTGAAAAAGAAACTTCTCTGACCTAGAAATAAACCTGGGTGGTACCATTAATGATTGAGGGCTGGACAGGCTGACCCTGCCGAGTGCTTCCCACCCTGACATGGGAAACCTTTGCCTGGACCTTCTAAAAAGTCAGCTTGGGACAATCTTCTCTTTGCCCCAAAGATGCTGATGGTGTGGTTTTGAGTCACATTCATCTAGAGCTGTGTTCTCCCGTATAGTATTCCCTAGGCATGTGTGGCTATTAAAACTGAATTTAAATTAAATTAAAAATTCAGTTGCTCAGTTGCAGTAGCCACATTTTAAAGTGCCCAATGGCCACTGTACCTAGTGGCTACCGTATTGGACAATGCAGGTACAGAACATTTTTATCATTGCAGAAAGTTCCATTGGACAGTGCTGGTCTAGAACCACCACACTTCTAGGGGGAGATTGTTTTTGGGTGTGTGTCTATGTGCACATGTGTGTGTGCGCGCATGTGTGCATTATTCAGCACTTACTGTAAACTAGGCACGGGGCTCACTTTGCTTTTGAGGTACAAGTGTCATCTCACTTAATTCTCACAACAGCCTGCCAGGTGGGGGCAACTATTATCCTCGTTTTACAAATAAGGAAAATGAAGCTCAGAGAGGTTAAGCCACTTGCTCAAGGTCACACAGTGAGGAAGTGTTAGAGTCAGAATTTGAATCCAGGTCTCTCTATTCTTCTGCTGTAATGTACCAATCCCTGTGATTTCTGAGATTTAACATCAAGTTCTGCTTTCTGAGCCTGACATTGTGTATTAAAGAGAAGGATCAATATAGGGGATCAACAAATCTGTATGTCACTGTGACTACTTAATTTAAGAAAACTTCTCTTCTCTCCCTCCCTCCCTCCCTCCTTCCCTCTCCTTCCTCTCCCCTTCCCTTCCCTTCCCCTTTCTTCCTTTTTCCTTTCCTCACTCCCTTCCTGCCACCTTCCCATCCTTAATCGCTCAGTATGGACACCAGCCAGTCAGAATGGGACCTGCTGTAGTGCTAGAGGAGGGCTCCCAGAGATGCTCTGTAAGGTGCTGGGACAGCCAGGGGCCCAGGGCCACCCAAGGGTGCTCAGGGTAGTAGTTATATACCAGCCAGTACAGAATTATTGCAATATTTTAACAATTAGCATGGCCTTCTCAGAGACCACTGGTGTGCCTGGGATGGAGGGGTAAGAGGGAGGACTTTTCAGGTCTTTTCAAGACTTTTCATCTGCTCACTGGTCAGGGCCACCCCATCTCCTCCCCTCCCCCCACCGCAGCTCACCGGGGAGCCTTTTCCACCTCCTCAATGGGACACCAGGCAGAGACTTCGCAGGTCTTCAGCCTCTCTTTATACACTACACACCTTCCGGTCTGGATCCCTGGTGGTGGCGGGGGGGGAGGGGGGTCAAGGGGCCAGAGAAGCACAGGTGTGAAAACCGTGGGCGCGTCATAAACTCAACCCAAGCAAGAGACTATTTATTTATGCTTTTCAACCCAAGCAGTTTCAGCTTCCATGAAACCCCATTCGAACCACAAACTTACATAAGGCAACCCAAGCAAAGAACACATCGGACGGTAAGCTTTTTTAAAAAAAAGATTCAGAGAGAAGACAGAGAGACCGTGGATGCTGTTGGTTTATTTTGGTTTCTTTGCAAGAAAAATGCTGAGAGAGGAGCTGAGCAGGGGGTGTTCTCTCACCTGGTACACCTGGACTAGAACATGGCTTCTAAGTGGGCGGGCACTGGAGTCCCTTAGGGGTGTACAGCACGGACCGGGGATGTGCAAAGCCAGAGAATGAACATGACACATCTTCCTGGAGTGTTAGTGTCACTAGCAGATTCCCGAGGGGGCAAGTTAAATAGTAAGACATGTTTGAATGGTCTCTATACCAACTCAAACACACACGTCTTATGGTACAGAATGTAACAACCGTAGGCCTTTTTTGTGTATGTGTGTGTTATAGCCATCCATGGTTTTATCTTTTTTGTGGTCATTTTTTTTTTTTATTGTCACGTGCGTCTTTAAGTTAAAACAAGAGATACAGAAATTCTGTAGGTTAATAGTGGTACCATCCCCAGGCGCCCTGGGGCTACAGTTCATACTTCTCAACCTTTGGGCAAATTCGAGGGAGAAAGCTCAGCATACACAGATGACACTGTGGGCCATTGGATTTTCCTGTCAATGAGAGCCCTGAAGATGCTAATTCTGGGGGTCTTCAGGAGCTGCCCTCACTGGGGAATCAGATCACATTGCTAGTCAGTAGCCCGTCCTCTGGGGACAGAGCAGAGGCTCGGGACAGACACAGGCTCTCCCACGGCCTGGTGAGGGTGGAGGAAGGCAGCTGAGAGCCAGAGGCTAAAGATTTGAACTTTAGGACATTGTGAATGTCACCAAGATACCAGACCACCCGCCCCCCAGGATCCCGAAAAGAAACAGAACATACCTTTGCTCTGTGGGTCCATCCATCCCTTTTTACAACCCCTGTCAGAGGAACAGATTGTCCTTCGGGTGGGAAACTGCAGGGAGAAGGACGTGGTAGTGGGGAGTAAGCAAGGTGTGTCTGCTAAGATACAGAAATGCAGATGCGTCCGTCTGTCCACACCAAGACTCGTACACAAATGTTCACTGCAGCACCATTCACAGTCGTCAACAAGTAGAAACAACCCGAATATTCATCAGGACAAACAAAGCGTAGTGCATTCATACAATGGATATGATCTGGCCATAAAAAGGAAGGATGCACCGACACCTGCTACAACACTGATGACCATTCCAAACGTGATTCCGAGTGGAAGAAGCCAGCCCCAAAATGCCACATATCGTATGATCTCAGTGATACGAAATACCCAGAACAGGCAAATCCACAGGGACAGAAAGTAGATCAGTGCTTGCCAGAGGCTGAGGGAGAGGGGGAATGGGGAGTGACTGCCCATGGGTACAGGACTAATTCTTGGGGTGATGAAAATGTCCTAGAATTAGGTAGTGGGGTAGTGGTACCACATCGTGAAAATACGAAAACCCACTCATTTCTCCACTTCAAAATGGAGGACTTTATGGCATATGAGTTATATGTCAATAAAAAATAAAAATAAATAAAACTCTAAAAAGCAGATGCCAGGGCAGCCAGGTACCACTTTCAGGGAAGGGCCCCCGGGCTGGAGAGCAGGGGGCCTGGTCCAAGCAGCGCTTGGCTGCAGAACTGGGCAAAACCAGAAGCGTGAAGGCTCAGCAGGAAATGGGAAGGAAGGGGTGCCAGCCAGCACTTTTTCCTGGCTTCAGAAAATGAGGTCAGCTAGGCCTCAGGCCTGAGGACAGAAGAAGGAAAAGAGAAATGCAATGACTAGTTGAGGCCCATTTGACTTTCTGTGTTCTAGGGAGCAGGTTTAATGGCTGGTCTTAGGGGGACCAGAGCCTGAAAGTAGTATGAAAATGGCCTCTGCCCATCATCTTCCTCTAACCTGTGCCCCCTCCAGCATCTCTTCTCACCCGCCCGACCACTCCAGTTCCCCTCCTTACGTCAGGACATAACCCCTGCTGTTGGCCTTCTGTCTTGAGAAAGTTTGTCATCACGAAGAAGGAGTTCCCCTGCAGAGAAAGAGGAGAGGAGGCAAATGCCAGGCCTTCGAGAGCAGAGCTACTTAATCGTAATAATCCAGCCTGCTCAGTGCCTGGGGGCGAACCTTCCACCTTTCTAAACTACACTCTAGAAATCAGGTCTGGGAGAAACTTGGACTGTGCTGAGGGCTTAATATCAAAGCTGGATGAGCCATCCTGCTGAGCCAAAGGAGAGCAGAGGGACATTCAGACTGATTGAGTATTCGTTTTCCATTCCAGCTTCAAAAGCAGCCTTGTCATTTTTTGGACACAATAAAATCCCATTAAATTGAAACTTAAGAGACCTAGGGAGTGGGGGTGGGGCGGTGGGGTGTTGGCTTCATCAGAATGCTGTTCAGATTATCCAGGATTTTAATTAAAGGGCCAAAGGCAGCCCACAACCCAGGAAATAGCTGGAGATCTCGCTGAACCAGCTCCGCCTGCCCCCCCATAGAAATAAACAGATAGTGGCCTGGGTTTTATGGTTTTGCAAAGTACCCCAGCTCCCAGAGGCTCTAAAAGTGTCCCTTTGTCCCTCCAGCCTCCCTATCCGTTCGTTGGTGTTCTCATTCCGACTTTGAGTCTCCTTTTTTCCTTTTTGACTATTCTACTTTTATTTTCTCTTCTCGCAAATTTAAGCAGTCACATAGCCTCTCCCTGTGATCCACAGCCTTCCTGTCTTTGTCATCTCTTTCCTTTCCCTTGTTTAAAAATATATCTGAGTGAGTGTTTTTTTTCCGGAGACATTTTTGTTGATAAAACTCCACACAAACGATTTAGAAGGGCCAGCCCTGTCTAGGCAGGAAGTTCTTTGTCCTTCTGGATCTAGGCAGACCTTGCTGACTTGATGGCCCTGCTTCTAAAAAGCTGTGTATATATCAAGTTGTGAGTGAATCAAATCGTGCTTTAAATGCACCAGATCACACTGCTATTTTGAGAAACCCCATAGGACTCGATAAAGCAAAGAATCATCTTTGAGCTGCTGGATTTGACCCAATTTTGCAATTTTTAGGTTTTCTCAGTTGGGATTTTCACAGAGCTTTTTTTAAAATAGGGCCAGTGTTTTTCTGACGTGAGGCTCAGGGTCCCAGGGGAGGGAGGCAGGGCCCTGGTGACAGTGACCAGGGAGGAGTTCTTGGGAGTTGCTGACAAGAACTCACCTGCAAGGGGAAGGTGTAATCTGCAGTGTCAAAGACCTCAGACCCCATCTTCTTCATTCCATTCTCCAATATCTCCGCCTTCACCTCTGCTATCCCTTTCACCTTGGTGTGCACGGAACTGATAAGAGGCTCTTTCTTTTGGTACCGCTTGTCACCGATCAAAGCAAAGCTAAATGGCAGACACAGGAAAGCATCAGTGGTTTTCTCCACGGAGGCGCAGTGTAGTGGTGTTGGGTGCAGGTTCCGAAGGCTGCCTCCATGCACATCCTGGCTTTTCTGGGTGACTTTGGGCAGCCTGCCTGCCTGCTCTGTGACTCATCTTCCTCATCTGTAAAGTGGGAGGAATTGTCGTACCTACGTCAGAGGTGGTTGTGAGGATGAAATAAGGTATGTGTGCAAACTCCTCAGCGTCGGTATCTGGCACGCTATGAGCTCTCACCACGTGATGGAAATGATTGCCCCCAATGTGAGTCTCCAATATTGCCAAATATAGACCCTGATTTACAGGGCAACTTCTCAAATACCAGAGTCCCGCTCCAGATTGGTCCACCTGTTTTGTCCTGGGGCTGAGCAAACACATCAACGCCTAAGGATGTGTCCAGCAGGTCAGCCACCTATTTTCCAGAAACATCCACCTGGTTTATAATTAATATTGATAATAGCGGCTGCCCTTTATTGAGCACTTAGTACATGCCAAGTGCTCTTCATGCGTCATCTGTTTAACCTTCACAGCAATAGGAGATGGTTACTGTTATCATCGCTTTTGTAGATGAGAAAATGGGCTGAGAGGTAAAGGAAATTGCCCAAGATAACACAGACCGTCAGTGGCAGAACTGAGGTCCTCAGTTGGTCTACTGTCTAGTCCAGAGCCAGACCTCTTAACCCTATATGCCACAGTATGATGTAAAGTTTAAAGAAATCCAAAACTGCATTCTACATTCAGACAAATGCCTGTCCATGCGTGCTCATAGCAGCACTATTCATAATAGCCTAAAGACGGACACAGCCCACATATTCAGCAGTAGACGAACAGATAAACAAAATGTGGTCTACCTGTGTGATGAAATATTACTCAGCTATAAAAAGGAATAAAGTACTGAGACATGCTGTGCTGTGTAGGAACCTCAAAAACATTATGCTAAGGAAAAGAAGACAAATACAAAAGGTCACATGTTGTATGATTCTATTTATGTGAAATAATCCAGAATAGGTAAATCCACAGCAACAGAGTTGACTGATGGGTGCCCGGGGCTGGGGAGCCACAGTGACTGTGAACGCGTGTGGTTTCCCTTTGGAGTGGTGAAAATGTTTTGGAACTAGATAGAGGTGGTGGATGTACAACAATGTATTATTAAATGCCACTGATTTGATCACTTTACAATGGTTATTTCATGTGATATGAATCTCACCCCAATAAAAAAAGGAAAAAATGTTTTTTTAGCTATAGACATATGTTGTAGAAATATAAAAACAAACACAGAATGACAAATACCAAATTCAGGATGGTGTTTAAAAGAGGAGAGGAAAGAGAGTGGGATCCAGGCGGGGTCTGCAGGGAGCTAAAACTGGATTAATAATATTTTATTTCTTAAATTGGATGGTGGTACATGGGTGTTTACTATATTATTGTCAATATATTTTAGTATTTATATACCATTCATTAAAAGAGCAAGTTCATCAGGGGTGCCTGGCCTGCTCAGTTGGTGGTGGAGTGTGTGCAGTTCTGGATCTTGGGGTTGTGAGTTTGAGCCCCATGTTGGGTGTAGAGATTACTCAAAAATAAAATCCTAAGGAAAATAAAAAAAAAAGAAATCTCATCAAGAAGGACTTTGGAGCTAGAGATCCAGATTTTAGGTCCAATCAGCATATATGAGAAGGAGCTATGACATACAGTTCCATAGACAAATATAATACTTGTTCAACAGCGTATTTCAGCCTAGCATAACAATGTGAACATGGTCTGTGCAGTGTTCCCAAGTCAGACATGGCGACATTCTCCCAGAATAACACTGGGTTAGTTTGGCCCACCATTTGGGAAGCTCGATTTGAATCTGTCATACTCATTTCAGGCACACAACATATTATAGATCAGCTGTAACGGAATCCAACCCTCTCATAAGTCAGAAAACTTGCCTTTGTATGATAATGAACCTATCATACAAGAGCTGCATCAAAGGAAAAAAAGAGGAAAAGAGTTGATGGTATCCTGCCCTAACGACTGTCCCTAAGACTCAGACAAGCCATGTCACCTCTGGCCGTTGGTGTAGTCCCTGAACAAGGGGATGGCTGCCTGGCTCCCTGATCCTTGTGAACTTGCAGCTCGAAGAAGCTACAATTCTGTGCATGCTGAAGACCAAAAACCCACCGGTCCCTCTGGTGCACGGGCACGAAGGAGTTGGGGGCTTACTGACCCCTTGTACGATGGGGAGAAAGAGTTGGTGGGGTGGAAAGCTGCCGAGCCTGGGGAGGTCGAAGAGGACTAATGTGAGGGAAAGTGGGCACTCACAGGCAGGTCTGGCCTCAGAGGGGGGCTGTAGAGGGATGGGGAGGAGGGAAGGACAGAGAATGAGCTCAGCTGTGCAGCTCTGAGGCTTGTACACAGCACCGACTCTACAGGTGTAGACGAAGGTGCCCACCATGAAGAGGACCTGCACACTCTGAATATGAAGGGCTTTCTCTTATTGGCACCTCCAGGGGCCCTGGGCCCGTGCCAGCATGGTGAGAGAGCCCTCAGAGGGCCTCAGGCCAGGAAGCACAGCTCAGCAGAGCCTGACTCTTCCTCACAGCGCCTGGGCTCACTGAGTAAAGGTAACTCTAAAGCGAAAGGATGGGATCTGAAAGTGAACCACCCTCAAATCTGGGTAACTGACACTTACCTCAAGGCCAACATTTTCTTGGCGCCTAAAGGAACTGTGGGCCCGGGACACTGTCCTCTGTGCCTCATGGAGAAGTTGAGCCCACAGCCTCTGCTTTCTGTGTTTATAACCCCAAGAGAAGAATCCAATTATTTCCATCCCGGTCTCACTCAGCAGTGGGGTGAGCTCCGCAAGGGGCCAAGGACAGCAAGAGATGCACTGAGAAGAAAGTGGAGGAGAGCCTGCACCCCCAAGGCAAGTTAAGTACCGACTGTATTAGTTTTCCATTGCTCCTGTAACAAATTACCACAAACTTAGTGTCTTAATGCAAATTTATTCTCTTAGTTCTGGGGGTCAGATACCTAAAATTGGTCTTATGGGGGTGAAATCAAGGTGACTCCTGGAGGGCTGGAGGCTCCACGAGAGAATCTGTTCCTCACCTTTTCCAGCTTCTAGAAGCTGTCTTGGCATTCCTGGGCTCCTAGCCACGTCACTCCAACCTCAGCTCCCATTGTCATATCTTCTTTTTCTGACTTTGACCCTCTTGCTTCCCCTCTTTTGAGGACTCTTGTAATTACACTGGGGACACTCAGATAATCAAGAATAATCTCCCCATCTCAAGACCTTGAACTCAATCACATCTGCAAAGTTCCTTTTACCCATACAGATTCATAGGTCCTGGGGGTTGGGGTGGAAATCTTTTGTGGGCCATTATTCAGCCTACCCCAATATAGTTGGCCTGTTGTAGCTTTTTAAGAGCCCCCCCCCGGCGCCCAGCCTTCACCCTACCCCACCTTTTCCTGAGCTAGAGTGAAGAGGTTTCCGTTCCTTGTTACCCACGGCTTAACTAAGACATCGTCTTCACTTCTAATTTCCTTTGGCTATTGCATTTCTTTTCCATCAGCCAACACTTCTGGAAAACCCTTCCTTATAATGCTTCCCCTCATTCAAAGAACTTGTATTCCAGAATACAATACTTTCTACGCATTCAACTACATGGAGAACAGAGAGTGAATCTTAATCTATTAGTTAAAGTTTATCAACTAGAGGAAAAATAACAGATACATGTAAAATCCTGACCTTGAACTAAAAAACTCAAGTTATGCCAGTACAAACCAGAGCCCACCCAAGGTGGCAGAAGTTTTTGTTAGAGGCCCGAAATTTTTAGATAATCCTGAGCCCATATGAACGAAGATTGTGTTATATCATCCAGAAGAAAACAAAACGACAAGACAACTAGTGTTATCTTAAGCTTCAGTGAAAGAAGTAGAATATTTCACTCTTGGGTGGTGGTAAGCCAGTGGCCTATGGCCACATTAGGCAGCCCCCGTGTTTGGGTTTTATGAACCACATTTTTCAAGAAAACCCCTTTAATTGTTGTAAAAGTGTAAATTTCACAGAACTGCACAAAGAATATGAAAAGCTTCTAACATTCTCCCTCCCAGAGGTTACTGCTGTTGAAACAGGGTATCTTCCAGGTATCTCTTTATGCCCACACCTTGACACCCAAACATGGCCACACTCTACATGCTTTATGAAACTTGCTATTTTTACTCAGTAATATATTATTAAATCTTTCCACAACAGTAGTGATAAATGTTATGATAAAGATAGATCTATGATATGGAATCACTTTTGATGGTTACAGAGCATTTAGTGTTTAGATTGGAACATATGAAATTGCTCATTTTTTAGACCAAAGGAGTAGATACTGGCAATTCCATATAGTTCAACCGAAGAGGCGAGTTGTGATAATTTGCCCCCTGTCTCTTCCTGGTGGATATTTAACTGGAAGTTTTGCTGTTTTTCCAATTGTAAACATTTTTTTTGGTAACCCAGATATAGCTCTTACTGTGTGCCAAGCACTCTTTTAAGCATATGTTAATAATATATATTAACTCTTTCAATTCTCACCTCCCCCAAAACAACCCTGTAAGGAAGGTCCTGGTATCATCCCCGCCTTATATCTGAGCAAACTGTGGTACAGACAAAGCGAGCCTAAGTCCACATAGTGCTATGGATTGAATGTTTGTGACTCCCTAACATTCAAATGTTGAAATCTAACCCCTAGTGTGATGGCATTAGGAGGTGAGGCCTTTGGGAAGTAACTAGGTCATGAGGGCTGAAGGGATTAATGCCCTTATAAAAGAGTTTCCAGAAACTCCTTGCCCCTTCTACTATGTGAGGGCACAGCAAAACAATGGCTGTCTGTGAACCAGGCAGTGCATGCTCACCGGACACCTTATCTGCCAGCACCTTGATCTTAGAATTCCCAGCCTCCAGAACTGTCTCCAGAAAAGCACATTTCTGTTGT